GAATAAGGAAGCGGACCTTCTTTGTAGGAAATTCCGATTAAAAGTTATTCAACCGTTAGAAATTCAAATACTTCTTTTAACCGAGGATATGGAAAGGTTAGGCGAACAAACATTCTTTAACATGAAACCAAACAACATTGCTCGTGGGAAAATAATCTCGAATAAAATCTCATTGTTCACGACCCACCTACAAGCGGATGTTTTTTTTCTGAACGAATGGCGTAGTTTCACGGATATATGTTTACAGTGAATGAGTTATGGAGGCCTGTGAGCACAGCGCTATGCTGCATGACGAATAGTTTCCCGTTGCTTCGGAAGCACCGGATGTAAGCACCATCTTTTAAGAATGCCGCACATTGAAAGCACAAACATGGCGAGTTTGTCAACACAAAGCCACCGGTGCCATAGAATATATAATTGACATAATTATGTACGAATGACTAAATTAATGGAAACGAAAGGAAATGTTCTGTCATAAAGGAATCTCGAGAAAAATGCAGATCTCAGAAACTCATGAGTCAGGGAGGTGAGATGGAAGTGGTGGTAAAGTTTGTGAGTTTAAATTTAGACAAACAGGATTAATGGTGGTCAAGTCAAAAATGAGGTGTCGTGGTGAATGTAAAGCGATCGGCGATGACACGTAACAATAAGATCAGCGACACTGTTCGACAAAACCATTAGAATTCGTGTGGTAAACAGAAAAGCTTGTAACGCGCAATAAGGTTTTCGAGTTCGACATTGAGTGTGTAGCCCATCTTTAAACGCATTCTGTTCGCTTTTCATTACGTCGACGGACGCGATGCATTCGCGGATCGCAACGGGATCAGAATGATAACAGGCACCCTCTGCAAAGTAGGCGAGACTAACCACGGTGTTGTTTTTCATAGTACCCTGCAACACTTCCGAATCAGCAAAGACCTATAATCAGTACGCTACATGTGAGAGAACAAATACACTGACATTATTTTCAGTAATGCAACTATGATTACGGTCTACCAGACGCCACTTTTCAAAAGTTGTCATCAACAAATATAGGATACAAAATACCAGTTGCAGAAGTTGTCATCAGCGAAACAATGCTCCAAATTCGAAACTTATTATTGCCGTCGAAATCATTACGCGCTAAATTGTATATGATTTCACGATGGATTTGCTGTTTTCATCGCCATGATTCGCGAGCAATCGTGTTATTATATAAAGCTTCGCTGAGGTCATCCGCTTGTCAATAATAATAGAGCATGGCGTCTACACGGCTAGTGTTTCATTAACTTTTCGCAGCACGGTGAATGAGCCATTGTTCTATATCGCCAACCGCAGCGCTCGTCGCTCCATTACAAATCATAAAGGTGGAAAATCATGAGACAAATCTGCGGGTCTGGCAGCGGATTTGTATTGGCGAGAGATGATGAGTACAGCGCCTTGTTCGCTCGCCTATGCATAACTTGCAACTCATCAATTCATCGCAAACGAAGAGCATTGCTTCGGCGGAATTAGCCTTCTCAATTTGCATATCGACCACGTCTCCGCTTTTAGCTATAAGCTGCGGAAGGCAGGCATGTGTGGCGATGCTGGCACTACGAATTACTGCCCGCTGACATGTACATCACATGCACTGATGTATATATATATATATATATATATATATATATATATATATATATATATATATATATTGTAATATATATACGTATATGTTCAATACACAATGCCGAACCAGGATAAAATAATATATATAATTTGTGTATATTATACAGACTTATTTTATTACAGATAAATGTTGTTGGTTGTTATTCAATTGCTCACTAACACCCGCGTACACCTACACATACAATATGCTCACTGTTCACGCACCTCTAACTATCGTGTTTACACGTGTCTGTTTTCGAACGCTTGACTATGTGACTATGTGACTTGCGGCATTGAATAGGTTTCTAGATTTGTACACACATGTTGTTCTTCTAATTCATGTGTGCGCACTGAGTGCCGTTTGTAAAGTTTGTTTCAGCTCTATTTCATATTGCTACATTTACATGGAAAGTATATAACGATAGTTTTGATGCGGCTGCCTTCACCCACAACCACGAAGTACGACATACTGAGTAGGGGGGGGGGTAAGCATTCTATTTACCCTGCTCCACTTTCTCTCTCTGTATAGCTGTTACATTTGTAGGCAAAAACCATCACACCTCGAAGATGGCGCTCAACATGAAACCTTGTCGGTCTCTCGAGCTATAGAAGCTGCGTGATACATCGTGCGGGACGTACAGTGCTAGCAGTAGATAAACATACTATTAGTATTATAGATATTTACACGTTGTAGCTGCTCTGCTTGTTTACGATATATATTAAGCTAGAGGCGCATGCATGACTTATTTTACCGCGTCCACATTTACTCGTAGCACTTGAGGTCAGGGCGTGTCATTTCATCATGCTATTTTCACATATTTGGCGAATTTCACGTGCAACAAACTTAATATAGTGATTTGAAATTTTCCTTGGCCTATAATCTGCCATCCTCCTAATCGCAAAGCGCAGTTTAGTATGCAAAGGGGAGCCATAACTCTTACCAATTGAATGCTTCATATTAGCATATCAATTTTTGAATATTATGTCTATCATAAAATTTTACTGCATCTGTAAAATTTGCATGATATAATAATGCTGTCTTTGTTTCGCGACCCTACAATCCTTACACACACGTACTGGCTATTTGCGCAATTTTTAAGGCATTAGATCGACGAAATTTGCGTAGAATATTTCATCGTTACTGATTAAATCCATAATCGTATAGAAATGTAAGACGATAAAGAGCTGATGTGATGATCGGTACGTTGAAACTATTACCGGAGATTCTACTCATCCAATCGGTTCCATATTTGGGGTTTCACCGATTGTGCGATGCGTGATATGAGATATAATTTCGAAATTGGATTTTCGCATTTACTATGCGTCGTCAAACGACATCTACACCCTAATGGCCGGAGAGAAACTATAGCCGTTGTTGATGAGTAAACAGACTTGTTTATCGCCCCTCTCCAGTTTCGCATTTATGTACATCTATCATACGTAGGGATTCGTCCATCGAAGGGACTACTATACAATTATTGTTGTTGCTCTTTAGTACAAGATGGCAATCAGGGCGATAATTCCAGCTGAAATTGAACCACCATTATATCAGACAGACGACGATGGCAGGCAGAGCTGGCGCTTCGTGCATTACACAAACACAGAGCCTATACAGTTCCCCGCGCAGTCTCGTTAATTACGTGCACATACCTTCTGCTGTATCGGATCCATGTGCTAATAGCTCTTGGAAATTTCGAAATATAGAGTGTCATATAAATATCGCGAAACTAATCATTCTTGAGCTGATACATTACCTCGCCTATTTCCTGAGTTGGTCCGGCATAATTACTGCGGGCATTAGCTTGACATATATGCCATATTAGCTTTGTGTTTCGCACTTTATAATTGGCGTCTACGATAGCCTCTCTGATTGTGAGATTATCGAACGTCCAGCAGGGTCAGTCGCAATTCCCCTCAAGAGATATCACTCGCCCGCGGTGGTCAATATTCTCAATATGCTCGCGGTTTGATGTCGGATTTTATGTACACAGCCGCACAAAGACACAGCAAAACTCTGCAGGGACACCAGTGGGAATAAGACGGCAAAATACACACGGCCATCACAAGGATGGCCGGCTCGCTACCATTGTAGTTGTTGTGTTTTGCTAAGACCGTTCCTACATGGGCAAATATTAATTATCCTAGCTTCAATTCGGCATATTTGAATGTGAGAAGTGTGTGATATGGACAGAATAGCTTCGCGAACCCCTCTATGTTAGAGCATCTTTACACAGTGCAGCTGGACGGAAGCCCGACAGAATTACAAGTCTAAGCTCGCTACCAGTTTTGCGTGAGTGCATAGACCGTTGGCGTTATTAAAACATACACGCAAGACCCTGCTTGCACCCGCTGCCGCCTATATGTTTTCCTTTATAAATACGTTATGGAATTCATCATAATTTGTAACATGAACGTCAAGGCGGTTTTGCAGTTCCATAAACAAGCTGGAATTTAAGTATAGAAACTTAATGATACTGTAGCACCGACCGAGCCGTGGCACGTGCACCGTGGCAGACTCTCGCGCGGGTACATAAGTTGACGCGTAAACTATGAGAGGAGTCGCGGGGATTAGTTGTTGGCAGAGTGTACTTGCGAGCTCACTAGTACAGCATGATAGGAAGGCGAGCCATTTTGTCACGTCATTTATCACAAAAGAAACGCGCTATAATTATCGCATGCATATCGTTTAGAGCTCGTGCGAAACCAGTTTTCGCCGAGGCCGAAATGGTCAGGCGCATTACATACATCGGTTTGTAATAATGACAGCGAATGCGCTGTGTATCGCCGGCCTACGAGTTTACACGAGATGGCCCGCGTGTCCAGTGTTAGGGTTCATCCCGAAGGAAAACTGATCGTTTAATATCGCATTAACTATTTCCCTGTCTCATCCTCAAAATCTCTTCCAAACGGGGGTGTCTGTACGTACCACCGGACAATTTGCATAAACGATTTTTGGTCATGCACATATCGGAAGTTGTGCATAATTCACGTGCCCAATACAGAAGTAAAACGGCCGGTGTTTTTAACACGCGAAAAAAAACCCACACGTATTACACTCTCTCGGCTAGGCGCGACAAAAAGCGAAACATGCGTTTGAAACGGAGAAAGAATGCCGAAATTAACCAGTGAATATTCGAGAATTCCAGCCGATCTCTTTCGTCAATAACGCTTAGGAAAATCAGTGCCGTACGGCGGTGGTACATGGCAAACGATACTACGCAGCAGCCGGTAGCCATGCGCCGCGATAACAGCAGCAAAACCGCCAAGCGCTGCTGGCTGGCGGCCAGTCCAGCTCGCTGCTTCATGCCCTATGCTGACCCATCCACTACTTACCCAAACACTAGTGTATTCACAAGACGCAAAAAGTTACTTACCGTTCTCCAGTACACGCGAGGTGCCCAAATCGTTGTCCAGGTGGCGAGGCTTGGCCTGCTTGCGTCTTGTCATGTTGGTCCGTGCTCTCGGCTCACGGCGCCGACTCGAATGCACACAACTCCACACGCAATATTTCTATGCTATTATAAACAGCGCGTCACTGCGCATGTCTCGATGATATGATATCCAATATTGCCGCGTTATTATATCAATATCAATGCGTGGCATGGATTGATCCTCGGCGCTTATAATCGACAATCGTGGCAGTAGCGGCTGCCGTCCGTGGAGATAGCACGCTTCGAATGGCCAGCAGGCCGGTACTGTGCAGTAATGCAGTCAGTGAATAAAACAACGCGGATGTGATATGCACTATAATAACATCGGCTGCGCGTCGCAGGCAGGGCGTGCTCAGTCAACCGCGAACTGCACGCTTTATGCAATATCCAATGAAAACAATATGAACAGGAAGGTTGGCTAAGCCCTCATGCACGTGAGAAGTCCCCCATTGTTAGTATATGCAAATACGTGTGCGCCTATGTGTAACGCGCGCAATTGCCTGGCGAGCTTTCACCTATCAACGATGAGAATGCGTAGCAATTTCGGACGGTAGATGACAGTACGGACGTACAACGGAGCACCTCGTATATCATACACGGACTATATATCACAATAAATTTATGCGCGCTCACACCTGCTATCCGCACCTTTCCGTCGGATTTTAGACCTGATTCGGCATATGCATTCGGCATGTAATCAATCGACATGAAAATGCACATAGATGCGTTTAATGTTCGTCGGACGTCACGGGCGCAGAACGATATGTATGCTTAGTCATCTCGTTGCAGGCACATTATGCAATTAGCATATCATAGGAGCCTGCTCCCAGTAACACATCCAGTGGGCCCGGCTATGTCGATGAAGAAGATTCTTGCCTCGCCTTTCTTCGCCACTGTACAGGGATGGTAGCCAGCTGGCGAGCTGCGTGCCAGTGACCTACAACATTACCGACTAAAACCAAACATGCGAAATGAAACTTTGTGCGCCAGTTTCAGGGGAACCGGCGACTCTGCGCATGCATGTAGATGAAGTCGCATGAACTGCCAGCGCCGGGTTGTTAGCAGAGCAAGCAGGGAATCTGCATCGGTGCATGCTTGATGAATCACTCTCGAATGCAAGCCAGGTAGTGGGGAATGGGAGGGGTCGCTCACGCCGTGGGCGTAGGAAGGGGGCGTGATCGACACAGCGTGACTGAATGCGAGCCGCGAAAAGTCACACAATTAATCAAGTTTTTAGCTACCGGACAATTAACTGACCCCCCAGCAACCGGGATGTTTTTTTCCTGAGTCACGCGCGATATCTTATTTAAGACATCCGTTCATAGACACACACACACACACACACACACACACACACACACACACACACACACACACACACACAACACCACTACACACACACACACACCACACACACCACACATACATACACCCCAGATCACCCCACACACACCCACCACCATTATTATATATATATATATATATATATTCATATATACTATATATATTATTATAAGGATTTTGTTTGTTTTGTGAAGCCTCATGAAGAGGCGCTGAGAGAATAATGATAACAGATATAAAATGATAAATAATATGTTCTCGAAAGCTCTCGAAAATTGACACTCGCGACACCTAACATACATATTCGATACTACATATTTATATATGTTATTTCTCCATCTATATGTCTACATATGTATGCGGCGTCTTGGACTTTTATCTTCTCCCCCCCCCCTCTCTCTCTCTTACTCCTCTATATTATCGTGTGTTATTCGTTAATATATAATTAATTATTAATATATATCTAATATATATATATCATATATTATATATAAATAAAGTATATACTATATTATAACAACAAAATATATAAAAATGCGTACTTCCACACAGTGCATAACACTAATAATAATTACTATATCCACTACGCCAGTGAATATGAGCGGACCTTCTTGCTGAAATTCCGATTAAAAAGTTATTCAACCGTTAGAGTCAAATACTTCTTTTAATCGGGCTATGAAAGCGTTAGCGCGAAACAAACATTCTTTCAACATAACCAACTCACAACATTCTCGCTGGGAAATAATCTCGAAATAAAATCTCTCTTGTTCACGACCCCACCTTACAATCGGAATTAAATGTTTTATTTTTCTGAACGAATGGCGTCAGTTTCACGGCATATATGTATACAGTGAATGATTATGAGCCTGTGAGCACATCCTATGCTGCATGACGAATATTTTCCCGTTGCTTTCGGAACCAACCGGATGTACGCACATCTTTTAAGAAATGCCGTCACATTTAAACCCACATGGCGAGTTTTCGTTCAAACACAAAAGCCACCGGTCATGACTTATATAATGACCATAATTTGTACTAATGACTAAATTAATGGAAACGAAAAGCGAAATGTTCTTTCATAAAGCGAATCTCTGAGAAAATGGAGATCTCAAAACTCATGGTCACGGGAGGTGAGATGGAAGTGGTGTAAGTTGTGAGTTTTAAATTTAGCAAACAGATTAATGGTGATCAATCAAAATGACGTGTCGTGATAGTAATGTTAAAGCGATCGGCGAGACACCGAACATAAGATCATGACGACACTGTTCGCAACACATATAGAATTCGTGTGTAAACAGAAAGTTGTAAGCCGCGCAATAAGTTTTCGAGTTCGACAGATGAGTGTCTGTAGTCCATCTTTAACGCATTCTGTTCCTTTCATTACAGTCGACGTGACGCGATGCTTCCGCCGATCGCAACGGGATCAGAAATGATAACAGGCACCCTCTGCAAAGTAGGCGAGACTAACCACGTGTTGTTTCTTCAGTAGTACCCGGCAACACTTACCAATCAGCAAAACCTTATAACTCAGTACGCTCATGTGAAGAGAACACATACACTGACATTATTTTCAGTAATGCAAACCTATATCTACGGGTTCTACCAGACGCCATTTTCAACAGTTGTCAGCAACACATATACGGAACAAAATCCAGTTGCAAAGTGTCATCAGCGAACAATGCCACTCCATAATTCGAACTTATTATGCCGTCAAATCATACGCGCTAAATTGTATATGAGTTCCACGTATGGATTTGCTGTTTTCGTCGCCCCATGAGTCGCGAACAATCGTTTCATTATATAAAGCTTCGTGAGGTCTCCGTTGTCAATAATAATGGAGCATTGGCGTCTACACGGCTATCGTTTCATTAAACTTTTCGCCGCAACTGTGACATACCATGCTTCTATATCGCCAACCGCCACGCTCGCTGCTCCGATGTGAGGTGAGGATGGTGCTGAAATGTGGAAGATCATAGGACAATGTATGCTTGTGGGGTCTGCAGCCTCCTGGAATTGTATTGGCGGAGTGTGATGCGTACGGCGCCTTGTTCGCTCCGCCTATGCATACATTTGCAACTCTCAATTCATCAGCTAACACGGAAAGACATGATTCGGTCTGGAATTAGCCTTCCTCAATCTTGCATATCGACCACGTCTCCGCTTTTAGCCTACTAAGCTGCGGAAGCAGGATTGTGGGCGGATGCTGGCACTTACAGATTACTGCCCGGACATGTACATCACATATCACTCGATGTATCATTATATATTATAATATATATCATATACAATAATAACTTACGTTGTCCAAGCACCTACGCACGCACGCACGCACGCACGCGCACGCACGCACGCACAACGCACGCACGCACGCACACACATACATACACACATGCACACACATGCCATAGCAACAGACAGACACGAACATTCGCGTGTAATGTTAATACTCCGCTACGATGGCGGTAATTAAGGGTGTCGAAGTCTTTCAATCGCGTACAGAGTTTAGAAGTAATAAATATTGCTATCCAGTGTCGAAGTTTCTATAACGTTCGGTTATGGGTGCGTGCGTGCACATTTGACACGCGCCACATACTGACTAATATAGGAGCAATATATAAATAGTAGGATCTTAGTAAGTCGAACCAGAACGAGCATAAGATAAGGAAATATGGACGCACGCATGAACGCACGCATGCGTAAACCAAATGCATGCGCTATCGATTATTTGGATGTAAATATACGATTAACAGAGACTGATGGTGGCAAAAGGCATCCAATTAGACGAGTGTCTAAAAGGAACAGCAGTGATGTAGAACCATGCCAGCACAAGACTGCGACCACACACGTGGTCGTTACTTCTCATTAACATCTGAAACGCAATACAACTCTGGGGACAGTCTGAGAATTTAAACAAAAATATCTCAAATGGAGTGCAGATACCAGTTATTTATTTTGACTGCACGGAGTAAAACATGCCAGAAATATTGCTAACGTTTACAATATGATTTTTGGAGCACATTCAGTTAAAAATCCGTCCTAATATTTGACATTATTGTTAGGAACGGCAAAGGTTTGTTTATTTTCATGGTTCTAATAACGAATATAAACATTCAGTATTTCCACATGAGTTGCCTTCGACACAGTTTTCGCAGCGTGCGAGATCTCTGAATAGCATAGGACCAGTTTTTCCCGGATTCCAGACGTTATTTTAAGATCAAGGGTATATTTTTTTAAACACAAAAGCGCTTGGAACTATATAGATATGCTATGCACCATGAACAACGGTAAGCTTTCAGTGCTGCTGACCTGCCACGAATCCCATGCATTGCTACAAGCGCAATTTCTGTTATATTATTTTGGCATGATTCATTTTGTGTCAAACGGAGTTAATTGGATTTAAATAAGTCGCATGGTCAGAAATAACCTAATTCGCGTTTGTTTGTAGAAAGGATATAATGTTCTGCTGAACGTTAAAAACATACGTGACTACCAACTTCATTTCTATATTTAAAATGCCGGCGACACTATACGTATGTTTTGTGTACACTACACTTACATAATATTTCTATAGCATGGCGTGCTTGTTTGGATAATATGGCGAAAAAATGCAGAAAGAGGAGAAGAAATTTCATAATTTGAGCCCAGGAATTCTGCGCGGGCTCAAGCGCTATCTTTAAAAACAGTGACGTGGAGCCTCTGGTCTGGATTTATTTGTTTTTATAAAGCCCGTGAGAAATTACAATGTTCATTATACTCCTGCAAGCGAAAGTATTTCACGAAATAAAATGACATGAGCGTATTTGTAAACATGACGTCGCTGCCGCCAGATTTTATCTCGAAAAAAAAACGCTAACGATTTACACCCGGCTCATTTTAATAACGCACACGTGCACGAAAGTCATTGCCAGGCAATGCCGTAAGAAAGGCATTAAATTTACCTTCTTGTGTGGGATAGTCAGATATTCGGCATGCATTTCGCTCTGCGTTGCTCTGCACCGCGCGGAGTAGTTGCTCATACTGAGGTGTCATATTTCATTCCACGAAAGAATTACAACTAGTTCATCGCAATAGTAGGGCCGAGTTGCTTGCTTTATCACTATAAAATTTGAATGTAAAGTCCTCGTTGTCGAGACAAGCGTGGTATTGCGCAGACCCTTCCCCCGTGATATACTTTTCCGTTACAAGTAAACGAGTTGATTAAAAATCCAGCTCTGATATATGTGAACGGAAGTTCACCCGCCTGCTCTCACTACTGAACAAATATAAATCAACGTCAACATCGCATGTAATAACTTATTCGCACTCATTTTAAAAGTCCTTTAAAAGTCGATAAATTATCAGCGTTCTTATCGCGATAAAACATCATCTATATCACATTCACGATATTATATAAATTAAAATAAATTATGATGATGCGCGTATATATATGGAGAAGATATGGATTTGACGTGATGTGCAAGGTGATTTAATAAAGAAATGAATGGCCAATAAAGAATGAGAAAAATGAAGAATCAACAAAAGTATTTCATCGATCTTGGCGATGGAGCGTCTCGTTTTGCTTGCAATGGTGTTGTTTTATAAATACATAATGCCCAGCCAAAGGTTGAACTGGAAATGGCTTCTTTAGTTTATCTAGGGATTTAACACGGTGACGTCATTGTTGGCGAATTACACACAGAAAAATGCACAACTGGCTTCGGAGCCGATCGTTATTCTGCACTTACATTACACAAGGCACCGTTTCGTCGTAAGATTATGCATAGGCTTTATTATTATTATTATTATTATTATTATGCATAGGCGTTAAAGTAATGAGTAGTTTGCATCGGCTCGAAATTGTCCCGAACATGATACCCGACCCGCGCACCATACGCGCGCGCCCTGACAGCCGGACCTACGCGTATAAGCTTGTTGCTCGCTATGATGGCCGACACGCAAGATGCTGGTCTGGTCGGTTGTCAGATTTGTATGCATCTTTTGATTTATATACAAAATAATAATCCTCGTCATAAATAAACTGTCATGAGCGCAGCTAACGGGATAGCGCGCAGCTGTGCCTGCCCGTATATATTTATTGAAAGGCCTTTACGCAGCGCTATATCGCCATAGCGATATGCAGCCAGTGATTACAGGAAACTCACATTCTCGATATATATTCAGCCCGCGAAAAGCTTTTTCCTATTATCTTGTACAGAAATATCATCGTTTACATCAAACGCATCATACATACACAGAATACGAAGCAGGCTTCTCGAATAAACGAATTTAAGCGAGCGCCCATACCGCCGGATATAGCATTCCTCAATCTCGGCCTATCAATATGAATCAAGATTCATAACAGCTGGAAATTTTCTGAAAACATCATTTTAACAGAAAGCAAATATACTCTGCATATAAAGTGACATATCCAGCTCTATCTCCATCAGGCTTGACAGCGCAGTGCTGCGGGTATCATGACAGCAAAAATGACGGATTACTGAGACTACAGCCGAAACGGCCGCACCGATGTTGTTGGGGAGCAGACGAAGACGGGCAGGAATCTGCTGGAGGGAACCGCCGCGATGACTGCCAATCTGCGGGACTTTGATTCGGCGCGGGAATCAATGAGGTTTTAACGCATTGCGTATCACGGGTTTTAACTGAGAGGTTCGCGGCTCAGGCGAGGCATTAGTGTCCTGCGAAGATCTCTGGAAATCTGTCTTAGTGTGCTGCTTGACCTTTCGGCCTAAGTCCATTTGCATAAACCCGATCTAAGATGTTTTCCGATAAAGCATGGAAAACTTTTAAAGAGTTTACGTCCGGTCTTTCCGTCGGCCCCGTGGATGCCGGGCGCCTAAAACGGTAAGCCTGTGTGCATAGAATAGTGGGTAACATAACGGTGACTAGGGAGATTTGACTATCGCCGGTGGCCAATAATAACGCTGTCAATTGATTGATAATAGCGTAGGACCGCCTGGCGAACCGTCACAGAGTTTTGTATTAGAAGTAAAGTCCGCGACAAGTGGACGATAAAAGCGCATTACGCCGCCTGGCGGATAAATGAGAATGGGGGGAAAAAGCATGGCAGAAAAAAAACTTTTGACGGATATACTTGTCGGTAGCCAAAATAATATCCAACACACTCGTGTCT